CCGGAAAGTTTTCAATCAGTGTTCTCCCAATGCTAACTCATGGGACGAAACATGAACCCTAAGCATTAAAGCCATTCATAAACTACAGAATACGCAATGCGGTATAAAAAGTTGTATGTTGGGAACAAGAAGAGAAGAAATAAGATGACGATGCGTGAGAACAAATAAGAGTCTGCGATATCATTGCACGAGTAATGAAGCTAAAGTCGCAATGGGCATGACAAATTACAATAACAACTGACCATTACCGAGCCAAAAAACACATTAGACTCAAAAGGGGTAGGACGATCTCCAGATAGATAGCAGGACGAGAACGTGAAGAAATTCACTGAAAATGAAGATGCTAAAAATGGAGAAAAGTCCTGAAGAGACCTTCATCACCAGTGAATCGAAATAGTCTGATGCTGAAACACGCTATAAAACCATTTCATCTTGTCGTATTATGAAGAACAATTTTTTTACGAACTTTGATTACGTGCACATTGCATTATGCGCATGAAATACTATATTTATGTGCATTTTTAAACGTCCTTATGAACGTGGTATCATAAAATATCTGAAACGAAAAAACTGCTGCAATGTATAGTACATTACCATGCTGACAGAATGGCGGTGGCACAAGTCCAGTTGGACATTCGTCTACTTTAACCTTGTCTACTCGATACATCCATTTGCCATTAAAGTTCACGTTCGATTTCATCGTCAGTTCTTCGCCGGTCAACGGAATAACGACGTCTGGTGTAGATTTTGCAGATCGAATACCAACCTTTGACAAGGATTATTTTACGACGTAAGAACAGCCATACATATTTTAGAAATTAATAGGTTATAAATAATAAACGACGTTGCTTATAGTAGCGTTTCCATGCTTCTAGCGGCCTAGGGGTGCATATAAGCTGGCTATTATCGTCATTCGAGCATTGTAGCACATGGATTCAAAACCGTATCACTGGACAGGGCCGATTAAAGTCCGACAGTCCAGGTTGGAGAACTTCCGACATTCCAGTATTCATAGGCATATTTATAAATAAAATAAACACCGACTTATCGGTTTACTATATAAAAATAGTCTTCTTTCGTTTTTGGTATCTGATGGAGCCGTGGTCTGCCTAAGCAGTCCCCTAGGCCGTTAGAAGTAAACAGACAGTGTCATTACGCCGTGTAAATCCGGTATTAAAAGAAAACTGTTGTCCTTCTTAACGGCATTATCGCAAACTAGCATTGTGCTAGTAAATCGGTAAGGTCAGAGTTTATTTTTGTGCATAATTATTTTTTTAATTTATTAAATTCAATTAGGAAAGTTATGCCATGTGATAACGATAGACTCGTTGTCAAGGTAGAAGCATACATCCTGAATGCAAGCCTTTTTAGCTTGATGTTGATTCAATCGCATTATAAACCTTTCAAACTAGTGAAATCGATTACTTAAAAAGAAGAGAAGGATCGTGCAGAAGTTAACGATGTGCCAGAATGGAAAATAAAGGATCCCACTACCGACATCGCCAGACGGAAGAGTACCTTTCATCGCTAAAACCATCAAATAATTTATCTAGCATATATATTTTATTAAACAAAATTTTGAGGTTTCGAATGGAGTGGCGTCAATGTTTGCGGAATATTGTATAACAGCAGCACAGAAAACCAGCAGTATCTCGTTTAGCATTGCGGAATGATGTTCAGCAAAACATCTTTGCAAAAACGATCAAAAAAATTGCCGATTCGATAGGTACTGCAGTTTAAATGACAGATTTAAGTCCAATTCAAAAATGATGCTCACATAATTAAGATACAACGGAAGAATGCTGTCTAAATGAAAATATTAATATTCAACAATTTGAAGAAAGAAGCGAAAGAAAAACCACACTGTCGTCATAGAATGAAATGAACATAAAAATTACGCAGCTTGTAATGAATAAGTTGCTATCCCATCTGGGTTATCCATCATTGGCGCACTGGTCATGAAAAGAATACAAATGAGTGAAGAATTGGATCATGCGATAAAGTGAAGTACCAGTGAATGCATATTCATGAGCTGCATCAGCTGTGAAACCTGTAACGTGGTCTGGTAGGAACAGGAAGCTATTTTAAACACGGCAGCTCCTATGCTGTAGGAGAAAGGTGCTCAGGCTGAATTCTGAGGCAAGAATACCTAAGGCTGTTGGCACGACACTTTACGAAAATAGAGAAAAAAACAATATTCAAGAATCGAAGAATTCGGTATAATACGTATCATACCGACCATTTTTAAACGTTGTTTTAACGAAATTTTAACGAACAAATGACACCAGGCAGAACGATAAAGATATTAATTTATAAAGCAACCCTAAAAGCTGCATGAACAAAGATAATTTTCCGAATACAATATAATTTTATATTAAATATAGTTAAAGTGAAAATACAATATAACTTTAAGGACGGTTCGAGGTTGGTCGTAAACGTCCGTTCACGGTAAAGATATGGAAGTGAGTAAATCTTTTACGCGTTTTTCATCAGTCCGCGGCATTCCAATAGATATTATAAAAAAAGTCACGCACAAGAACTACGTTCAGCGTTAATTAAACTTTATAAAATAGAGAGATGTATATTTCAATTTCTAATTTCGGATCTGCTTAGTGTAACTGCGACGTCCCATTGCTTCTAGATATTTAAAGGAACTATTTCAGTAGAACATAGCTTCACAGTATTTGAGTATCTACAGTGCTTCACACATAAGATCGAATCTCAGAATAAAAGGTAAATACACATACAAGGTATAACCTTAATGATCTGGAGTAGGTACCACG